AAGTGATTGGAGGAGAGGAGAAGTCTCAATGAGCTCTCTCTCTTATTATGGAATATTACTCGCTCTCTATGTCTTTATTTTATATTAAAGAAGTGCCACTTGTAACGGCTGGCCCGACAAGTGGTGCCCCGTGTGAGGCAGAATAAAAGAATACGACTGAGGTTTTTAAAAGAGAGAAAAAAGAAGCAACTTAAGCAAACAGTCTGAGGCAGACTAAGAGGATTCTAACAGAAACTGTGAGAGGATTTTCGATCCAAGCAGTGAATATCATCGGCTCACTACGTCCGGCAAGGATTGCTAAGCGCTTTACATCTTTAAAAAAAGATCCCGGTGAGTCCGATCCCTTTTCTTCTTTTTTTATATTGATTTTAGAAACATGGGCAGCTCTTTGACTTCTCCGCAACAGAAATTTTTAAAAGACTTAAAATTTCTCCTCTCCTCCAACAAATTGGAAGTTCCTGATGGTGATTTGATACAGCTCATTCTGGCTATTGATGAACATTGTCCCTGTTTCCCTTTGAATGGAACATGGGAAATAAAACATTGGGACAAGATTGGTGAACATTTTCATGGGCTCCCCAGCAGTAGTGCTCGGATTTTAAATGCTTGGTGCAAGGTTCGATATGCTATGGGCTCTTTATCACCAAAAAATACCTCCCTGGCTGCATTGCCAACACAACCTCCAACTTCCTTAATCCAGCCTGCTGTGTTAGAGTCTGCTGTGTTAGAGTTTGTTCCAATCCTTGCCCTGCCAGCAGAAGCTCCAGACCCCAAACCTCCAGACTACAGTTCCTCACCAGAGGACCCAATCCTGCAAAAATACAGTGGTCTGGCTGGAAATGACCCTGCTCTTTCAGCAGAACCAGCTACCCCTTTTCAACGTGCAGTCCTTGCCTGCTTCTTATCTCAGGATACCATGGCATTCCCTGGTGCTCCAGCAGGAGCTCAAGCCCAGCACCAACCTTTTGACTTTAAAATCTTGAAAGAGCTGCAATTGTCAGTAAGGACAAATGGACTGCAAGCTCCATTTAAACAAGCAAGAGGGAATAATCCTAATCTTACCCTCGCAGATGTGATGGATGCTATGATGGGGCATGGCCCCCTGGCTCAGGCTTCAGTACAAGCCACACTGCTGCAGATCTTATTGAGGGATACTGCTCTTGCTGCTCAACAAGCAATGAGAAAAATCCCGGAACCCACCAGTATCCAGTCTAGGTGGGGTTCAATCAGACAAGAACGGTGGCCTCCACCAAAAGAAAAATCCACAGCACCAGCTTGTTTCTGAACAGCTTATTTCTGAACAATTGACTTTTGGCCACATTGAACCATCTTCATCCCACTGGCACCAGCAGACAGGAACGGTTTGCTTTTATATTGCCAATATAACAATTTGCAGCCCAACCAGCGATGTCAGTGGATTGTCCTGCCTCACAGCATGTGGAACTCCCCTACACTTTGTCAGCATTTTGTGGATGAAGCATCGAAACCTTTCCGCATGCGCCACCTAGAGGTGCTGAACACCAGCTGCATCTGGCAGTGTTTGCTACACCATTGTTGCCAACAGGAATTTTATATGCTCAGACGGACAAGAAGAAGACTATCTGCATTATAGAATGGTTACATTTACCTCATACCCCTCCAAAAAACATTTATTCAGTAATTGAATCCACATCAGACATTGTTATCAAAGGACGTTCACATGCTATGGCTTTGAGCGGTTTTGATGTTGCATCAATTTATTTGCCTTTTTCACAGACTGAACAGCAGCATTTATTGATCACAAATGCTGCCGTGCAAATTGCTTTGGCTGATTTTATACGTGTCATCATTTTTAACCCCCCAAAGGATGACCGTTTGACATTTTTGACACAGGTCACCTATGTCTTGGCTATCCCCTTGTCTCTCACACCTCTCCCCTCTGCACTAACCCTCTTCACGGATGGAAGAAGAAGTAGGGGGGTAGTGACGTGGGAGGAGGGAGGAAAATGGAAATGTTTATTTACCCCTCCACAGTCTTCTGCCCAGTGAGTTGAGCTAGCGGCTGTGATTCTTGCCTTTCAATCCTTTCCTACTCAAACTTTCAATCTTATTGTGGATACTCAGTATGTATATCGCCTTTTTGCTATTTTACCAGTATCTTATATAACTCCTTCCTTGGATTCTGACTTGATTTCCTTGTTTCTTGCCCTGCAAGCTTTACTTCAGCACAGAGAGTTCCCTTATTATGTTGCACATCTTCGCTCCCACACATCACACCCAGGGTATTTAGCAGAAGGCAATGCACGAGCAGATGCAGCATTGAGGGACATTTCTGCCTTTTCTCTCTTTTCTGATCCTGTACTATGTCATAACACCCTTCATCTCCCTGCGAAAGCATTGGCTAAGCAGTTTTCTATTCCTTTGGCCCAAGCTAGGGATATTGTGTCCCAAGGTGCTTCCTGTTCCCAAGGATGGCGTGCGGCCATGGCGAGCATCTTCAACCGCGGAAGCGCCTTCCTAACCATTTGCCTTGCCATCCTTTGCTTTCTCCGTTATACAAGGAAGAGAAGCAGACGATCTAGTCCAGTTGAAACCACCATATTTCACCTTATCAGCTGGTAAGCCGCTGTCATCAGAATCCTACTCTGGCTGGCAGCATCCACGGCTCAGTCACTCTCGAACTAGAAGAACAGTGTTGTTGAATAAGACTTTTAGGGGTGAAAATTATCATAAGATATGGAGGGATAATATTTTTGTACAAGATATGATTAAGTTTACCAGTTTATTGCATGCTTCTAAATGTTGGGTGTGTATGCCTGCCCCCATTTGTTTTCAAATTAAAGAGGGGAAAGAATCATGGGGCATATATCCAAACTGTCAATATACTTTGAAATTCATGTTTAATAGCTCTTGTTCTCTTACAGGAACATACAGTGACCAATACCAGTGCATACCAGTGCATGGTTAAAAACTAGAAAGGAAGCCTACCATGCAGCTTGGAATCAGAATTCTTATATTCTTGGCTTCCGGATGGAAGTTGGCTTCGACATTTATTGATTATAGTGATTATTATAGTAGTTATTTGCATTATTTTGTGTTGCTATATACAATGTATTCCTTCTTTAATTTATGTATGTACTGCATGGTTCTCCAGTCTCACAAGAGTCGCTTATCAAGCTCGACATAACCATATATATGGCTCTGATTAAAATATAAAGAAAGAGGGCATGTGGGAGTCATAAAGCCATGGTAAAGGCTTGCAATATTGCAGGGTGCCCCCTGACCTCGGCTGACCAGCACTCTGAGCTTTACAATGCATTGGAATGCATTGACCTTATAAGGCGTTATGTTCCCCCCCCCCTCTGGGCAGTGTAACCCTATATCGTTTGTGGGTGGGAAAAAGCTTGACCGGATGAGGTAACGTGAGACATTGGAATGCAGCCATGCGGCTGGACAGAACAAAGGATAATAAAAAGTGATTGGAGGAGAGGAGAAGTCTCAATGAGCTCTCTCTCTTATTATGGAATATTACTCGCTCTCTATGTCTTTATTTTATATTAAAGAAGTGCCACTTGTAACGGCTGGCCCGACAAGTTTACAAACGCTTCAGGTTACAGACTCCACTAACCCAGAAACATTACCTCAGGTTAAGAACTTTGCTTCAGGATGACAACAGAAATCGGGCTCTGGCGGCACAGCAGCAGCAGGAGGCCCCATTAGCTAAAGTGGTCTTCAGGTTAAGAACAGTTTCAGGTTAAGAACAGACCTCCAGAACGAATTAAGTTCTTAACCCGAGGTACGTTTCCGAGCACGATTCAAAGTGTTGGTGCTGACCGTTAAAGCCCTAAACGGCCTCGGTCCTGTATACCTAAAGGAGCGTCTCCACCCCCATCGTTCAGCCCGGACACTGAGATCCAGCGCAGAGGGCCTTCTGGCGGTTCCCTCATTGTGAGAAGTGAAGCTACAGGGAACCAGACAGAGGGCTTTCACAGTAGTGGCACCCGCCCTGTGGAACGCCCTTCCATCAGATGTCAAAGAGACAAACAACTACCTGACATTCAGAAGACATCTTAAGGCAGCCCTGTTCAGGGAAGTTGTTAATATATAACGCTGTACTGTTTTTAACACTTGATTGGGAGCCGCCCAGAGTGACTGGGGAAACTCAGCCAGATGGGCGGGGTATAAATAATATATTATTATTATTATTATTATTATTATTATTATTATTATTATTATTATTATTACCACTGTATTGGAAATGTACATCCAGTTTTTCCCCCTTTATTTTTTGGGGGGCCCACAAGAAAGTGGGGCCCTAAGCTATGGCTTGTTTAGCTTATATGTAAATCTGAGATTGCTCATGGGACAGCTTTTTCCCATAAGCCCATTACACATTTTGCTGCAATTTATGGGCCACAGCGCTGCCAGGCAAAGGCGCCCCATGCGGGGCTTATAAGAGAAATAAGTAAAATGAGCAGAAAGGGAAGAAGCACACACAGATACTTTCGCTGCAGACAGGTACAATTTTATTCTGCATTCCAATGAGCAGGAGTGTAAGAGCAAATGTAGATAACTTCTTCAGCCAAGAAATCTGTGAGAGAAAAGGAATGAAAAGGAAAAAAAATAAGACAAAGTCAAATTTGACCTCTTGCCCTTGAACAAGCGCACTACTCCATCTGTTGCTGATTTGTGGTGTTCTATTTTTAAAATAAAGTATTCTTGCTATTGATATTATTATTCACAACAACAAGCACAAGAACAACCACCTTCAGGAACTGTTTGCCTTGGCAATGTCTGGGGCAAGTGTAATGTGTGTGCCGCCAGCAAGAATATTTCTAACACACCATCTTCAATTCACCTGCAAGTGAATCAATACTTTAATTACCAAGTATTTTTCACAGAATCATAGAATCGTACAGCTGGAAGGGACCCAAAGTGTCATCAGGTCCAACCCACCGCAATATCTGGGAGCTTCATACTTACACAAGCACGCAGCATGAAACATTCTCTGCACATTTTCCTTTAGGAAAAAATCCAACTAGGCAAAAGTGTTCGTGACAAGACCCATCGATCTTCTTACATTGCCTTCTGTTTCTTACAGGATCTAGATCTGCATGCACACACAGAGAGAAAGCAAGTGAAATGCCATCTAAATATAATACCCTAAACCAATATTTCTAATTCTATATTAATTTAGCAAAAGTTATCTGGCAGAAGAGTATTTGTAGTTTTCAGAGCTCAATCCACTTCACTTAAACCTCCAGGTGGAAAGTCTTCTCTTGATGAAGGGGCAGAGAGTGTGGTCTTCAAAGACTTCCTGGTTACCAGTAGACGTGCAGCAGGCACTAACGTTGGTAACCTCAGCTATGAGCAAAGATTTTTGGTTCTATCCATTTCGCTTTCTTTCATGTTCGTCATTTTCCATTCTTAATCTTTTGAAATGACACTATGCAAAGATAAATATTTGATTGACCTTTGTGAAAACTTAGAGCTGGACAGAAGTGGTATCTTACTCAGAGGCAAATACGTACTCTACAAGAGAGGAGTGGGTTTTATTTCTTGCTGTTAGTATGAAACTCTGCATAGGTTTGAATAGCCAATTAAATTAAATTGAAGCCATTTATTTACTACTTGTGTAAAACATTGTTTACTACTTGTTTACTACTTATTTTCTACCATTCTTCATCTGAAGATCACAGAGTGGTTTACAACATTAAAATTTTGTTGTTGTTGTTTAGTCGTTTAGTCGTGTCTGACTCTTCGTGACCCCATGGACCAGAGCACGCCAGGCACCTCTGTCCTCCACTACTTCCCGCAGTTTGGTCAAACTCATGCTGGTAACCTCAAAAACACTATCCAACCATCTCGTCCTCTGTCGCCCCCTTCTCCTTGTGCCCTCCATCTTTCCCAGCATCAGTGTCTTCTCCAGGGAGTCTTCTCTTCTCATGAGGTGGCCAAAGTATTGGAGCCTCAGCTTCACGATCTGTCCTCCCAATGAGCACTCGGGGTTGATTTCCTTAAGAATGGATGTGTTTGATCTTCTTGCAGTCCATGGGTCTCTCAAGAGTCTTCTCCAGCACCATAATTCAAATGCATCAATTCTTCGGCGACCGGCCTTCTTTATGGCCCAGCTTTCACTTCCATACATCACTACTGGGAAAACCATAGCTTTTACTATATGGACCTTTGTTGGCAAGGTGATGTCTCTGCTTTTTAAGACGCTGTCTAGGTTTGCCATCGCCTTCCTCCCAAGGAGCAGGAGTCTTTTACTCCATGGACAAAGGCCTGCCCATCTGGTGATGTCCATGTGTAGAGTAGTCTCCTGTGTTGTTGGAAAAGAGTGTTTGTGATGCCTGATTATCTTTTCACAGATAGCCAATTTTTATTTCACAGGATTTTCAGGATTTCCTCGAGAAACAAGGGATAGAGCATAAAAGTACAAGAGTCTTCTCCAGCACCATAATTCAAAGGCATCAATTCTTCGGCGATCAGCCTTTTTTATGGTCCAGCTCTCACTTCCATACTTCACTACTGGGAAAACCATAGCTTTAACTATACGGACCTTTGTTGGCAAGGTGACGTCTCTACTTCTCAAGATGCTGTCTCGGCCTGTCATTGCCCTTCTCCCAAGAAGCAGGAGTCTTTTAATTCCGTGGCTGCTGTCACCATCTGCAGTGATCATGGAGCCCAAGAAAGTAAAATCTCTCACTGCCTCCATTTCTTCCCCTTCTATTTGCCAGGAGGTGATGGGACCAGTGGCCATGATCTTCGTTTTTTTGATGTTGAGCTTCAGACCATATTTTGCGCTCTCCTCTTTCACCCTCATTAAAAGGTTCTTTAATTCCTCCTCACTTTCTGCCATCAAGGTTGTGTCATCTGCATATCTGAGGTTGTTGATATTTCTTCCGGCAATCTTAATTCCAGCTTGGGATTCATCCAGCCCAGCTTTTTTTTATTTATTTACATACTGTACATACACATATTACATTGCTTTTTACATTTATACTTGCTCCTAAGAGCTGACTTCCCTCCTTCCTTCTTCTGGCTTCTTTATGTCATCTCTATCTTTTCGCATTGTCTTTATCCATTTTGTATATTGTTGTTGTTCTTCCATTTTTGTCCGTAAGATGTCTGTAAACAAATAAATCTTTCTATATATACAATTCTTGTTGTCTGTCTATATTCATTTACCTATACTGTTTGTTACATTGGCCATATTATACATTTTTACTTCTTATTCTTATTATTGTCCAATAAGAGCCAGTGTGGTGTAGTGGTTAAGGGTGGTAGACTCGTAATCTGGCGAACTGGGTTCACGTCTCTGCTCCTCCACATGCAGCTTCCTGGTGACCTTGGGCTAGTCACACTTCTTTGAAGTCTCTCAGCCCCACTCACCTCACAGAGTGTTTGTTGTGGGGGAGGAAGGGAAAGGAGAATGTTAGCTGCTTTGAGACTCCTTAGGGTAGTGATAAAGTGGGATATCCAATCCAAACTACTACTACTACTACTACTACTACTCCTCCTCCTCCTCCTCCTCCTCCTCCTCCTCCTCTTCTTCTTCTTCTTCTTCTTCTTCTTCTTCTTCTTCTTCTTCTTCTATAGTTTCCCATTATGAGGTTTATTTCAATTCTACTGGTTTCCCTATTTCACCTCATCGTCCCTATGTATGACACAATTTTTCCCATTCTTTTTGAAATGTTTTATCGCCCTGATGTCAAATTTCCCCTATTAGGTTGGCTATTTCTGCATACTCCATAACCTTGTACTGCCACTCTTCTACTGTTGGCATTTGTTGCTGTTTCCACACCTGGCCCAGCAATAACCTCGCTGCTGTTGTTGTGTAGAGGAACAATTTCTGGTCATTCTTATTAATATACTCTCCTACCATTCCCAACAAAAATGAGTGGTTTTTTTCAAATGCGTATACCTGAAGGTCTTCTTTAGTTCGTTGTATATGTTTTCCGAATAAGTTTTCACTTTGTCACATGTCCACCACATGTGAAAGAAACTGCCTTCTTTCACCCCACACTTCCAACAATTCTTTTCCTGTTTTATACATCTTTGTTAATTTAATTGGCGTGAAGTACCACCTGTACATCACTTTTAACAGATTTTCTTTTAACAATGTAAATGTACATGCTGTGGATTTTAGCCCAGTGTTCCATAATTTTATCAACTTTTCATACTCAGTGTTATGGCCAACATCCATTGCCCATTTAATCATGACACTTTTGATTTCTTCATCTTTTGTGTGCCATTCTAGTAAAAACTCGTAAACCTTAGACAGTATTTTTGTTGTTGTTCTGTAGTACTGCAGTTTCTAATATTGATTTTGTTTGTTCAAATCTCTTGCTTTGTTATCTTTTGAGAAAATGTCATTCATTTGGTGGTATTCCATCCAGCTTGATAATTTATCTTTTAATTCCTCATAAGGCTTGATCTTAATTACATTATTCTCTTCCAACAACATGTCTCTATAAGTTAACCATTCTCCTTTTATATTTAATCTTTTCACTGAGAAGGCCTCTTGGGATGAGAGCTACCATGGTGTCTTTCTTTCAAACCACTCTTTAGATCTTATCCAGACTTCATATAATGCGCTTTTTATAATATGATTTAAATGCACTCCAACCTTGTCATACCAAAGGTATGCATGCCACCCATATCTGTTTCCGAACCCCTCCACATCAAATACACCTGTGTTTTCCAAACTGAACCACTCTTTTAGCCATGTTATACATGCAGCCTCATAATATATTTTAGGATCTGGTCGTGAAAAACCTCCTCTTTCCTTTCTGTCCATTAGAATTTTAAATTTAATCTAGGCTTCTTCCCCTGTCATACAAACTTTGAGATCATTTTTTGCCACTCGTTGAATTGACCTTGTCCTGTGACTATGTGGGTGGTTTGAAATAGATACCCAAGAGCATCTTAGGTAAGACACTCATCTTAATGGCTGCTATTCTTCCACAAAAAGATAGTTTCAATCTATCCTGTATTTCCAGATTTGTTGTTACTTCTTTCCATGTTGTTTTGTAGTTATCCTTAAATAGGTTTGTATTTTGGGGGGAGAGCCAGGCATCCCAGACCCATCATTTCCAAATTATTTTTCATAAAAAACCAAGCAAATACCTTTTTATAAAGCCACTTTCTTTTTTTCTTTTTTTGCCTTGGGAGAGCATTCCATAAATGGGAACTCACCTCAGAAAAGACCTGTTCTTGGGTTATCACCCTCTTGTGGAGGAGGCAGACAAAGGAGGACCTCAGAGGAAGTTGGCAGCCTTTGGATCGGTTGATATGGGGAGAGGCAGTATTTGAGGTACTGCAGTCCTGAGTCATTTAAAGGCATTTAAGGCTATATAGGACTTCGCGCCCAGCTCCCGGTGCCCGCGCAGAGCTGCGCTGATCCCGGGACTGCAGGCAGCTCTGCGCAACCCTCGGAGCCGGTCTCCCGAGGGTTGCGCAGAGCTTCCTGAAGCCGGGAGAGCGAGAGGGTTCGGTGCGCACCGACCCGACCCCTCTCGCTCTCCAGGCTTCAGTGAAATCCTGCATTCGCCCCATAGGACGCACACACATTTCCCCTTCATTTTTGGAGGGGGAAAAGTGCGTCCTATAGGGCGAAAAATACAATACTTAGATCTTTTGAATCTAGGGAGGACTTCTGAACTTGTGGTCCTACCACTGCCTCCTTCAAGCAGGGAGGCAATATCCCCTCTCTAGAATAGGCATTAATCAGCTCCCTGGTTTCCCAATACAAGTCAATAGGATTGCCAAAGTTTTTCATTTCATGAATACAGGATGGGCTGGTCCAGAATCAGGCACAATCTAAATTACAAACTGGGCCAGAAATCAGATCCAGCTATAGGGTCTTTATTCTTACAGTAATGACAGCAACGAAGCTTTCCTCCACAATTTCCAATGTCTTCATAGCCATCAGGGCATTTCTTCAACACACAGTGCCCTGGCACATCACCATACCTGCATGATTCTTCATCTGAAACATCAGTGAATCCTGTAGTAACAGAGCAGCAAATTACCTTTAGCTATCTATCCACTTACAAGAGAATTCAAGTAGAATGGTGGGTAAGATAAAATCTAATAAATAACAATATCAGCAAAAAATATTTAAGAGAATGCAGAGAAACTCAGGTGGATGCTTTTTTAAAAAAAACAAGCAAGCAAGCAAGCAAGCAAGCACCTATTTTAACAAGAAGAAATAGCAGAGATGGGTGCAACACAGAAGAACACATCAAAAAAGAAACATGGCAGACTCCTTCCACCTCCCTTCTTGCTGTACGTATACCCAACTTTAAGCTTTAACCCAACTTTAAACTTTAACCCACAATCCCCACACAAACCTGCCACTGGTACCCAGTGTACTAAGGCCTCTGCCATGGTTCAAAATTGCACGGCATGTGCATTTAACTTGCGTGATTTCCATTGTAAGGGACAAGGTGAGCATGCTGTCGTGAGATGTCACAGGAAGTCAGTTTATCCTGTGACACCATGTAAGAGCATCCCTACCAGTCCCTGACCTGCATGATGATTGGCCTTTTCCAAAGAAGAAAGATTGAGAGTTTAAAGCTTTGTTCGCACCAAGTAAGCATTTAGCTGTTCGCCTTTCTTCCATGGCAACGCCTTTTCAGTGCGCCTGGTGTTTAGTTGAAAAAGATGTGGGTGGTGCTGTGGTCTAAACCACTGAGCCTCTTGGACTTGCTGACTGTAAGGTCAGTTCGAATCCCCGCAGTGGGGTGAGTTCCCACTGCTCTGCCCCAGGTCCTGTCAACCCACCAGTTCACAAGCAGACAAGTGCAAGTAGATACTGTATATGGGAATTGGAAATGTAGAATGGGGAAATGGGGAAAAAAGAGGAAGAGGATAAGCATTGGCTCCACACAGTGGTATTACTCATTTCAGTCCCATTTAGGACTCATATAATTGCTTACCTGGATTGGGAATGAGTAGCAGAGCAAACACCATATAGAAAAAGTATACGGTCTTCATATCTCCCAGAAGGTCAAGGTGGATGCTCCTTGTATCCCAACCTGAAAGGACATGAAGAGGCAATGTGTTTTGGTGAGTCTTATACTCCTCTGGTTATTAAAAAAATCTCCCTAGGCATTATACATTTAATTATAAATTGCCTTTAAGTATCACTGTTCAAGAGTACATTAATCTGGCAATGCCTTCGCGGTTCACCCGGTTGGAAAAATGGTTTCAATATGGCTCAGATCTTACTAATAAGTGAGGTCCCTATCAAGCAGCACCAGTTTGCATGTTTGTCCTTGCTGTTCTGTACTGCAGAAGAAGTTCTGTACAGTATATTAACCTGACGATGCAGTCAAGATTCACTGGATTGGAAATATGGTTTCATACCCCCCAGAAGCACCTATAGATCCACTCAACTATCATAGCCACTGAGCAAAGTCTCTTCCATCTCCTTTTAAAAATAATTTAATTGTAACCTCAAAGGTAGAAGCATGGGTGTCCACAGAAATTCTTACAGAGAGAGAGACAGTAAAACATTGAAGAGGACAGGCTTGTTTCAACATTTGATCCCCTACCTGCACTCAACTCTACCTGTGGTTCCTAAAATCTGTCTAATGGCTGGCTAAACCAGGTGAGGGTAGCTGATGGGTCTCAAATCCAGAGTAAATTAGGGACTTGTCTGTCCCCTGCGAATGTAGGCAAGCTTCAAAGAATTGAGCGGAAAAGACTAATACTGGGCTCAATAGTCAAGAAGGCAGTTTCTGCACATGCTGCAACTAGACTGGTGACTGGGAGTGGTCGCCGACACCATATAACACCAATCCTAAAAGACCTACATTGGCCCACAGTATGTTTCCAAGCACGATTCAAAGTGTTGGTGCTGACCTTTAAAGCCCTAACGGCCTTGGCTCAGTATACCTGAAGGAGCGTCTCCACCCCCATTGTTCAGACTGGACACTGAGGTCCAGCTCCGAGGGCCTTCTGGCGGTTCTCTCACTGCAAGAAGTGAGGTTACAGGGAACCAGGCAGAGAGCCTTCTTGGTAGTGGTGCCTGCCCTGTGGAACGACCTCCCATTAGATGTCAAGGAAATATACAACTATCTGGCTTTTAGAAGACATCTAACGGCAGCCCTGTTTAGGGAAGTTATAAATTATTATTATTATTATTATTATTATTATTATTATTATTATTTGGAGGAAATGTGAGGCAGGTGGGGCTCATTAACCTGGGATGGGAGCCCATCTAGGAGAAGAAAAACTTTGATCCTCTACCTTCACTGCTTTGTGGCTTTGCTTCAGGAGTAATCCCCAAGGAATAATCCATATTTTCTGTCTGGCAAAACTTCTACACAAATCCAGAGTGGAGTCCCAAGGCAGTCAAACGATGCTTTATAAACCTCTTTCTGGCATCCCCTGCGGCCCAGCTGCTCTCAAATGGACAGCATCAGCGATAATGAATAGTTAAAAATATACTGTGCACCCCCCTCTCTCTCCCCTCCTTTCTGCGGTTATTTATTTTATATTTTATATCTTTTCATTACTGCATAACCAATTTAAAGCTATTTACTAATTTGTCCTGATCTTTTCCCTTAATTGTCACTTACTGCATGTGTTTATATCAGGCCTGCTATTGTTGTGATTTGTTTACAGTGCATCTTCAAAGAATCAAACATTTTCCCCCATTCTATTTTTAGAAATCTCTCTTCTCGATTTCATATTCTTCAACATAAAGTGCAGTCTCAAATCAGCATTGCCAGAACTCTGGGAACATTTCTCTAATTCTGCCCCAGAGATAACATAGAAACAATCTCCTTCTGATTCATGTAGGTACAAAGGAAGACTGCCAGACACAGTGTGTAACATATAGGAAGGGCCTATGAGACTATGGGTAGGAATTGGAAGGGCCTTGGGGCACAGGCGGTTTTATCATCAACCTTTTGTGTTGAAGGTCAAGCTCAATTAATTTCGTTAGTCAATTTACCTTGTCTAAAGTAACCCAAAGAAACTTCCAACATCCATAGAAAGGAACAGATCCTACCATGCAAAGGGAGCATGTGCTGGTGAGGCCAACATTCCTGCATGGCACAGGCATCCCATGAGTGAGCAGACCATATCTTGAGCTTACTAGTTTGGGGAGTGGGCATGGGCATTTCTTGGGTCAATGTTGTAGCTGCCATGCAGTGCTGAAGCTCATGTCCTGATCTTGGACTCTTGGCCTTTGACTCTTGGGTGGTCCCACCATCCTTTCACCAGTTATAACTTTTTTGGGGGGTGGAGGGGAATAACTCTCTTGTTCAGGAAAGATTTGCCCCTTACTTCCAAGAAAGAGTCTCTGTCGTCATGTTCTGTTTGCAAGCATTGCATATATTTTGATTGTGTATGGAGTGAGTGGATGCAGCTGATATGCTTCACAGCATCATTTAAGTACCAGGGGAGCCCTCCCTCCATCCAATCTTTTCTTATACCTCTTTGATCTCAGTGCAATAAAAAAAGAATGTTCCTCATAGAGGTAGTTAGTTGCCCAGGCAAGAGCATGATGTGACCCATGAGAGCAGCCAAATCACCAGATGGTGCAACGGTGATGGGATTAAAATCAGGCCAAATATTTCTTGACAGCAGCAGGCAGGGCAAGGGTTGGCATGGCATTGGGTCAAAGGATCAGTACATCAGGACTTCTGCTTGAGGCGCCATGCAAGATGGCTGAAAATTCCATCGCTCCGGCTCCCACAGGGTAATTAGAGGCTGAGATGGGAGTAATCAGCCTCCCAAAATCTTCCCGGGGTATGGGAAGACACAGTCTCATCCACGGATGCCCAACAAACCAGCTCCAATTTTGTACGGAAGGAGGGTCTGGGGGCACTGGCTGGAAAGCCCCTGAGAGAGTCCCCCCAGAAGAACCATTTACATTATCTATAACAAGCGAGACTGGATTGTTTTGTATTTGTTGATATGGATATGGCTGTAAAACTATAAACTGTCTGGAAATAATAATACTATCTAATTAAGGCTTTTGATCTTTGATTTGCTTGGAAGAGGATAAAAGATTCTCCAGTTTGCTGAGATTAGACAGAAGCAGGATCTCATTAGGCGCTGGGGAGATGTTAAAAAACGTTAGATAGTTTCCTAGAATTTGTGTGGAAGCTGTGTCACACTTTTAATTTGGAAATCTGCCATGATGGAAGTCAAGACCAAGCTGCAGGATTACAAACAGCCATAGGGGGAGGTGAGCCTTTAATATTTGTATTTCCAGTTTTATTTGGTCAACCTTCTCTGGAAAGGCTAATGTTTGATACAACCAGTCTGGGAAAATTAATGAGCAGACGCTTAGACTTGATTTCATCGGAACTGAGTGAAGATGGCGGCTGCCAGCAGCGAAAAGACCTTTTGATTGATTTGGCAGAAACACCAGCGTGTGAGGAGATGCTGCAAACTTATAGATGGGAATCATAGACATAAAATCCACACAGAAATACATCATTGCTTATTTCAACCTGCTTGTGGGAACAACTAAGAGGCCGAGGAAGAAGGAAGGTTAACAACAGGAAGAATTAGAGGAACCATTGGAAATGACTATGAAAAGAAGTAGAGATATGAGATGATCAGAACCCTCGCACTTGAAGCATGGGAAGTCCTATTAGAAATTTGATAATTTGGCAGAACATTTGGATTATTTGATATGTATATGTATAATTTGGAATATTTAATGTGATTTGATTGGATTGTAAAAGTGGAAAATTTAATAAAAATGATTTTTTTAAAAAAACAAAGGATCAGTGCATCATCCCACAAGCTCCATGTTGACAGAATGGTTCCGCTGGGTTTGAACCCCTTCAAACCAGAACAATGGGAATCGGTCGGTGTTGAAGTTTGCTGTGGTGCAAGCCAGGCAAGCGAGGTCTCACAGGAAGACCAGGGTGCAGACTCCAAGCAAGCAGATACCGAACCCACGCTTGGGTTTGCTGTGGTCAATCCATCCCTCAGACCCCTTATAGGTTCTTCCCTATACTATGTTGATCCTACCCAATGACATTTCCCCCCTCACACAAGCAATGTTCTTCCACCTAACAAAGGAAAGCCATAATTTCACTGAGGGAAAGGCAAAACAATAACCAAGTGTCTCAGTTTTTGAGAGAGAAAATCATTTCTGGCCCTGTCAACGAACAACCCAAAATTGCTCAGTAAAGGCACTAACCCAAGGGTGGGCAAGAGAGAAGTTCTCAAAGCTAAATGGCTGTGAGCTCCAGGGTAAGCAGCCTTACAAAGGCTCTCCCTTCCCCTCTACAGCAAAGGCTCATGCACAGGGCCTGATTTAGGTTTCATGAGGCCCTAAGCTACTGAAGGTAATGGGGCCCTTTATATGTCCAGCTGTCCTTTGTCAACAACAAATTGTCGCTGTTTTTTGTGTTGAATATGTGCTATATGGTAATTTATGGACCTAATATGGAGCCTACACAACACAAAACACTGTTCCTGTATGTACTTTTTATTTGATTTGATTTTTATCTTATATTTTGGAAATGTAAATCCAGTTTTTTCCCCTTTAATTTTTTTGGGGGCCCCCAAGAAAGTGGGGCCCTAAGCTATGGCTCGTTTAGCTTATATGTAAATCTGGCATTGCTCATGGGACAGCTTTTTCCCATAAGCCCATTACACAGAGGAGATTTTGCTGCAATTTATGGGCCACAGCGCCACCAGGCAAAGGTGCCCCATGCTTATTGGGCATGGAACGGGGCTTTTAAGAGAAATAAGTAAAATGAGCAGAAAGGGAAGAAGCACACACAGATACTTTCGCTGCAGACAGGTCCAATTTTATTCTGCATTCCAATGAGCTGGAGTGTAAGAGCAAATGTAGATACCTCCTTCAGCTTATTGCTCTGTGAGAAAATAGGAATAAAAAGAAGAAGAAAGACAAAGTCAAATTTAACCTCTGGCCCTTGAACAACTGCACTACTCCATCTGTTGCTGCTTTGTGGTGTTATATTCATAAAATAAAGTATTATTGATATTGATATTATAATTCACAACAACAAACGCAGGAACAACCACCTGCTGGACCTGTCTGCCTTGACAATATCTGGGGCGAGTGTAATGTGTGTGCAAGCCACCAGCAAGAATATTTCAAACGCACCATCTTCAATTCACCTGCAAGCGAATTAATACCTTAAATACCAAGTATTTTTCATAGAATCATAGAATCGAACAGCTGGGGGACGCCAAGGGTCATCAGGTCCAACCCCCCCCCCAATGTCTAGGAGCTGTATACTTACATTAAGCGGCAGCATTCAACATTCTTTGCACATTTTCCTGTAGGACGGTAATGCTCATTGCATCGGGTTTTGAAACATAACACCTTTTTCCTCCTACATTGCCCTTCATTTCTTACAAGATCTTGTCCTGCAGATACACCCAGAGAGAAAAAATATATTGCACAAGTCTTCATTCCATCGCTCTCTCTCTCTCATTCTGTTTGATAGGTGAACGCAGGTTAAATGCCATCTGAATATAACACCCTTAACCAATATTTCTTATTCTTCATTAATTTAGCAAACGTTATCTGGCAGAAGACTATTTATAAATTTCAGGACTCAATCTACTTCTTCCTCACTTAAACTTTCAGGTGGGATGTTTACTCTTGATGAATGGGCAGAGTGTGGTCTTCAAAGACTTCCTGGATACCAGTAGAGGTCCAGCAGGCACTAATGTTGGTAACCTCAGCTTTGAGCAAAGATTTTCGGTTCTATCCATTTCACTTTCTTTCATGTTCTGCATTTCCCATTCTTAACCTTTTGGAATGACATTTTGCAATGGCAAATATTTCATTAACCTTTGTGAAAACTTAGAGCTGGACAGAAGTGGTATCTTACTTAGAGGCAAATCGGTACTCCACAAGCGAGGAGTGGGTTTTATTTCTTGCTGTTAGTACGAAACTCTGTTTAGGTTTAAACAGTCAATTAAATTAAATTGAAGGAATTTATTTACTACTTGTGTATGCCATTTTATATCTGAAGATCACAGAGTGGTTTACAACATAAAAATATAAAATGAGAATACAAAACCAATAATAAAAAAGAGAACCCATTCCCTCAAACTTATTTCAAATGTCACATATGGTTTTATCAGCCAAAGACCTTTTTATAAAGACACTTTCTTTTTTCTGGGGAGAGCCTTCCATAAATGGTAATTTCACCTCAGAAAAGACCTGTTCCTGGGTTGCTACCCTCTTGTGGAGGAGGCAGACAAAGAAGGACCTCAGAGGAAGTTGGCAGCCTTTGGGTCGGTTCATATGGGGAGAGGCAGTATTTGAGGTATTGCAGTCCTGAGTCAGTTAAAGGCATTTAAGGCTATATATCTCAGCTTCCTTTCTTTTCTCCTTGGGTCTACTCTGGGCATCCACTGCCTTGGTCTCCTGCCCACCCCAAAGAGAGGTGCCTCACCATGCCACCCCACAGGGGCCTAGGAAGAGGATGCCCCCAGCCCAAGTGTCCCAACGGAGAGTAGCCAAAGGTGAACATGAGGCCAGCACCTTACTCACCTTGGGAGGCAGCAGCTGGTGCCACCAGGCCTGTGTGGCAGAATGGCTCCCCTTTGGCACCGGCCACTCAGCTACCAGACAAGGACAAGAAAGGCCAGCGTGGCACCTGCCTGTCTGCCCAGCCTCCCACTTGTCTGCCCTTTCCCAACACCAAGGGCTGGCAAACTGGCTGGCTGGCTGGGCTCCCTCACCCACTTGTGTACTCTGAGGCCACCTCAGCTCTTGACACCCAGCACCCCCTGGCTAATACTCCCCAAGCATCACCCTTTGGAAACAACCATCCAAGATGGACCAGAACAACCACAAATCAGTGCCACCCACCCCCAACTCAGACTGTCCCTTCAGAAGCATACCATGCTCAGTGGTATCAAAAGACCCTGAGAGGTTGAGGAGAATGAACAAGGACACATTTCCCCTGTCTCTCTCCTGAGAGATTTTCTGTGCCAAAGCCAGGTCTCAACCGCAATTGAAATGGATCTAGAAAATCAGTTTCCTCCAAAAACGTCTGGATCTGGTCCATGATCATCTACTCAAGAACATTGCGTAATAAGGAGTGACCAGCAACTAGCCAGTAATTACTTAGATCTTTTGAATCTAGGGAGGGCTTTTGAACTTGTGCTCTTACCACTGTCTCCTTCAACTCCCTGGTTTCCCAACACAAGTCAATAGGATTTCCAAAATTTTCATTTCATGGATACAGGATGGGCTGGGTTGGTCCAAAATCTGGCACAATCTAAATTACAAACTGGGCCAGAAATCAAATCCAGGTATCTGTTCACAGCCATACTAAGCATTTTTTTAAATAGGATCTTTATTCTTACCAGAATAACAGCAACAAATGTCTTTACCACAACTTCCAATGTCTGAATAGATGAGAGGACATTCCTTCATTACACAGTATGCGGGCACAGCACCATACATGCACGAATTTAGGTCTGACACATCAGTGAATCCTGTAGTCACAGAGCAACAAATGACCTTTATCTGCCTCTCCACCTACATGAGACTTCAAGCTGGATGGTTAGGAAAATAGAATCTAATAAATAACACTATAAGTTAAAATATAAACCGTATTTTTCGCTCTATAAGACGCACCAGACCATAAGACACACCTAGTTTTTGGAGGAGGAAAACAAGAAAAAAAATATTCTGAATCTCAGAAGCCAGAACAACAAGAGGGATCGCTGTGCAGTGAAAGAAAAGGAATACAACAGACTCCTTCTTGCTGTACTGAAACCTAACTTTAAGCTACCATAATCCTCACACAAACCTGCCGCTGGTACCCTGTGTACTCAGGCCTCTGCCATTGTTGAAAATTGCATGACATGTGCATTTAACCTGCACGGTTTCAGTTGTAAAGGACAAGGTGAGGATGCGGTTGTGAGATGTCACAGGAAGTCAGTTTATCCTGTGACACCATATAAGAGGATCCCTACCAGTCCCAGAGCTGCATGATGATAGGCCTTTGCTTAAAGCTGAGTGGTTACTTCGCAAGAAGAAAACCCAAGCCGACAGCGTAAAAAGAACTTTTGAGATCTTCACCTTGCTTCTCTGGAAAGGCATTTTCAGCCTGCCGTGTGTTGGGTTCTCCCCACCTCATAAGCCACCTTATGGAAGGCAGGTTAGGTAGCTGAGGGCAGAATCAAAAGATAACCTAATTTTGTCTATATGCAAAATTTTGCACATGTGCTTTACCCTTGGAAGCAAACACCTACATGAGGTGCAGAGCTACTGCATATGGAAATTGGAAAGGTAGAACTTGGAAACAAAAATGGAAGAGGACAAAGAATCTGGGATACGTTTTGGCCCTACACGGTGATATTATTCATTCCTCTCCTCAAGTAATTTCTTGCCTGGGTTGGGAATGACTAGCAGAGCAAGCACAACATTGACAAACTATATGGTCTTCATAGCTCTGAGAAGGTCAAGGTGGATGCTCCTTGTACCCCAACCTGAGACGTAATGAAGAGGCAATGCGCACCCTTCTAGGGATTACAAAATCTCCAGTGACCGGAGCCCTAGGCATTACACAATGAATTACAGAATGACTTCCCTGTGTTACCCTTCCAGAGGCCATGGTATTCCAGAGAGAGGAAATTGTGGCAGAGTACATTAATCTGGCAATGCATTCACGATTCACCCAGTTGGAAATATGGTTTCAATGTGGTTCAGATCCCACTAATAACCGAGATCCTTGTCAAGCAACACTGATTTGCTGGTTTTTCCTTGCTGTTCAAGAAGTTCTGTACAGTACATTAACCTCATGATGCATTGAAGATTCACTGAATTGGAAAAATGGTATCATATCCCCTGAAGCATTACTTAGCCATCATAGCCACTGATCCATGTTTCATCCCTTGTGGGTTCCACAGCTGCCCACCCCCCCTCCTCTGCATCCAACCAGTCCATGAGAGATATACACTTCTGGGAGAAGAGAGATATACACTTCTGGGAGAAGAATTGACAGATTAACTCTCTCTCTAAGAGCTCTCACTTGATAGAAAATAATTACATTGTGATTGATGATAGACATATGACCTGAATATTAAATCAGCTTGTAGATATGAGTGAATTGGGAGAATGCCCACCGTGGGGTGGATCGCCAAGAGGTGGACTAGGCCTTGTAACAGAGGACCAAGAGAACCAAGAACCATTATTATTATTAATTAACTTGGTTTTGTTGTTGTTTAGTCGTGTCCGACTCTTTGTGACCCCATGGACCAGAGCATGCCAGGCACTCCTGTCTTCCACTGCCTTCCGCAGTTTGGTCAAACTCATGCTAGTAGCTTTGAGAACACTGTCCATCTTGTCCTCTGTCGTCCCCTTCTCCTTGTGCCCTCCATCTTTCCCAACATCAGGGTCTTTTCCAGGGAGTCTTCTCTTCTCATGAGGTGGCCAAAGTATTGGAGCCTCAGCTTCAGGATCTGTCCTTCCAGTGAGCACTCAGGGCTGATTTCCTTCAGAATGGAGAGGTTTGATCTTCTTGCAGTCCATGGGACTCTCAAGAGTCTCCTCCAGCACCATAATTCAAAAGCATCGATTCTTCAGCAATCAGCCTTCTTTATGGTCCAGCTCTCACTTCCATACATTACTACTGAGAAAACCATAGCTTTAACTATACGGACCTTTGTTGGCAAGGTGATGTCTCTGCTTTTTAAGATGCTGTCTAGGTTTGTCATTACTTTCCTCCCAAGAAGCAGGCGTCTTTTAATTTCATGACTGCAGTCACCATCATGGAGTCCAAGAAAGTAAAATCTCTCATTGCCTCCATTTCTTCCCCTTCTATTTGCCAGGAAGTGATGGGACCACTGGCCATGATCTTGGATTTTTTGATGTTGAGCTTCAGACCATATTTTGCACTCTCCTTTTTCACCCTCATTAAAAGGTTTTTTAATTCCTCCTCACTTTCTGCCATCAAGGTCATATGTGTCATCTGCATATCTGAGGTTGTTGATATTTCTTATGGCAATCTTATTTCTGACTTGGGATTCATCCAGCCCAGCCTTTCGCATGGTGAATTCTGCATATAAGTTAAATAAGTAGGAAGACAATATACAGCCTTGCCGTACTCCTTTCCCAATTTTGAACCAATCAGTTGTTCCATATCCAGTTCTAACGCATAGGGATTTCTCAGGAGACAGATGAGGTGATCAGGCACTCCCATTTCTTTATGAACTTGACATAGTTTGCTATGGTTGACACAGTCAAAGGCTTTTGCATTGTCAATGAAGCAGAAGTAGATGTTTTTCTGGAACTTTCTAGCTTTCTCCATAATCCAGCGCATGTTTGCAATTTGGTCTCTGGTTCCTCTGCCCCTTCAAAATCCAGCTTGCACTTCTGGGAGTTCTCGGTCCACATACTGCTTAA